TTAGTTTTATTTTTAGTCTTACGAGTAATTTCACATAAAAATATTAGAAATCATCTATTTGAAACTTAAATCAATCAGATTTAAAAACACTGTACACTCATTGACAAAAAAGTTATCCATCGGGAAGGAAGAATTGAAATCAAATAACATTTTATTACTAGAATGAAATGGCGATGATAATAAGTGATTAGAAAATCTGCCAAAGTAATAATTTCCTGTGAAACAACGGTACAGTTCAAAAGAACCTTCAATACCTTGTAAGATTACTTGGCTGCATATTTGCGAAGATACAGTCGGTTATGAAGACTGAGGGCATCGTTTGCTATCTTGTGATAATCTGTGGGCACAGATTTGCCCACAGGTTACGCAAATGATCTCTAGATCCCTCAACTAGGTAGGCCGAAGTTGGCGTCCCATTTGGTCCTACAAATGCCCAATAAGAGATAAATCGGGAGATCAGGCAGGAAAAGAAAGTGTGTTAACGTGACGAGACATTCCTGGGAAAACCTAGATATGTGCGTTCGAGCATTATCTTATTGAAAAATGGCAGTTTTCAGCCCTTCTATGAAAGACAAAAAAAGGAACACAAGGGCGCAAGATTTCCTGAACCTTCCATTGTACGTAGTATCAGTGTTCCTCTGCATCACCGCTACTGTCATATCGACCGAGATGGCTTCCCAGATCAGCACACTAGTAGTGAGGACTCAACAGATAGACCTACTCTGTCTGGGGCATCCAAACCTTGCCCGATCTTTATATATATATATGTATTTTCAAGTATCTACTGCCCAATGTTTCAACACGCTCTGGTCAGAACGGCACAGATTGAGGGCAATTTAGCGAAAAGATCATACTGTTTTCCTCCATCTACGCTATAGTCTTTGTCAAAGTCAGCTGTGTGTAATGTCTTTGACTGCGTCATGCAAGCATGCATGGTGTTCAAAAACTTCCAAATAGGTAGACTAAATATTCTGAACACATTGTGCATCCGTAAGCCTTTTTAGAAGATACCGAAGGTAGGGATTTTAAAGCATTCTAAATCATTATCTGGCGTTAAATAGGACCACAACCGTAATCATTTACATACCCACCTGACACATTGAAGCGCAATAAAATGCAGCTATTTGAAAAAAAGTTGTAACCTACAAATTCCCACTGTTGTCCGTCCGTCTTTCCTTAATCTCGAGAAGTATTAGATGGAAGACGAGACCAGATATTGAAACCTTAGGGGCAGGACGCTCCGATTAACTCTATATGAACATCCGATGCAAACCGGAAGTTACTTTGAATTGAAGTTTTGAAATGAAAAATACTACGTTTTTTCAATTCAAAGCTTCCCCTGAAAGCAATTAACAGATGACAGGCACGACTCTATTGTTAAAGGAAAAGTATGATGTACAGGGGCAAGCCACTACTAATTTGAGGTGGAGAACATATATTTTAAATGAAATGATTTAAAAATATGATTAAAAATTGCAGCCCAGCATTGTGACGATGTCACAATAAATAATTGCTCGTTTTATTTCAAATTATTCTAGCCGTTTCCTGATGATCTTCGAAATGTTCTGTTAATTAACTATGATGTATTTTCGCTGTTTTGGTGTGCATTTTACTTATATATTAGTATATAGTTGATTGGTTTTGCATGCATACAGAGGTAATTGGTTTTGCATGGTATAGAGTTTTGCAGTACTCAGACAATTCTATCATTATCTTTTTATTTATTTTTTTTGTCAATAGATGTATTACAGTATTCCGATAGGTGATTTTTTAACTCTTTTTGCCTTGTGAACACAAAGAGAATCTTTTTTCCATACCCATCAAGGTTTGAATAAGACCACCTTACCCATAACCTTGATGACCTTAGGGTGGATAGCGCCTAGTCCGGTAATGTCGGATGCTGTCACTCGCCAATCGGTGAAGGACAGCGCCCAATGTCCAGGACAGATCACACAAGAAAAATTTCTTGTTGTTCGTCGGGATTAATTTAAATCTTGAGTTCCACACATTGTAGGCTAACGCCTTAAAGTAAATTAATCGCCTTGGCCATCCAGCGTTAATAAGTTAGATTTAAAAAATAATATAGTTATAGTATATATGTATTTATTTTTTAAATATGTACAGTACAGTTCATACACAAAGTACTGGTAATAAAATATCCATACTATTAGTGATTGTTACATGAATTTGTAGTCTATAATCCATTGTTTTCTGCTTAACTACGTTTTAAATGTGCTTGATCGTCTCGAAAATATTTTGTTCGCATGTGACGTACTTTTAGAAAAAAATTAATTTAAAAAAAAAAACTGATGTTATCGATAAAATTTGATTAGCTAATTCGCACTTTAAGAAAACAGCCATTACTTTAGACCAGTGATGGGAAAACTACGGCCCGCGGGCCAGATGCGGCCCCCTGAAATGTTCTATCCGGCCCGCGCGACATTATTCCTAATCTGACGAGTAAAAAAGAATACAGGCTGTGGTGGTTGATGCACCACTTAACTTGAGTGTTCGTTGATTATATAAAATAACCGAAGCTTTATATCTCACCATGAAAGTTTATTTACAATCATGTACAAAATTTTGTTTTACACTTATTGAGTAAAAGCTCGATCGGTTACAAGCATGCTTCGGTACAGAACATCCACTCGTCGTGCGTAGCGTAGCTGAAAGAGAGAAAAAGAAATATGGCGGACGGCCTGCACATGTTTTTATAGCGCCACCTGGATTTTCAGATGCAGCGCTAGGTTACATTTATATTGGCCCGCCTAAAGTTTTCTTCTTTTCCTTTGGCCCGCTCTTTAAAAAGTTTGCCCATCACTGCTTTAGACATGAAATGCTCTTAAATTTTTGTACTTATTAGTTTCGGAGGTGTTACTATGTCAATAACTCCGTATGTTATTATGTTTAATATATTAGTACATTTAATGTTAATTTTTATATCAAGTTCGTCTTAATTAGGTCCTTGAAAATCCAACAGAAAATACACAATACAAAATATGAAACATTCAGGGACTATTCAAATATCAAGTCAGCAGTTTATAGGGCAGAGGGATTCGCTTATATCTGACGGTAGAATGGCACGTCTTTGGTGACATAAGATTGCATCCGACATTTTTTTCTCCAATCATTACAAAATTACTTTAAAATAATCCCTTTGGCGAATCCTTGATGGCAAGGAGAAAAGAACAAACAAAAAGAAATTAAAACAGATATCAAGTATAAGACTAAACAATCAAAGTAAACACGGAAAGCATCATTCTGAAGGCCGGTATTCGGTTTTTAACATTTCATTTAACTGATTTTCTTATAAATGATGATAATATAATAATATTAAGTTACTATATAAGAAAATCAGTAATTATATCGATATGTAGAAAAAAAAATCAATCATAATAGCTCATTTGAGTTTTATTGAATTTATATTTTTTATTTCACATAAATTTATCATACACTTATTTACGCTAATTATTATTTTATTAAAAAACATTATTTCAGTAAGTCTTGTATATTGCATAAATTGCATTTTAATTACAACTAAGCACATTTTAATTTAAGATTAAAGGGCGATTACTAAATCCCCATGCATTTTAAATATTAATGCAATTTAGCTTTATAAGAAATAACAAGAATCTGCAAAATATATTAGGAGATAAATTACTTAATATCTAACTTCTGTAATTTTAGAATTAAGGATTTTTAGTTCAGCTAGTCATAGGATACAATTAATAATTTCTTCTATTGGAGACATTCTGCCCAATATGAAATACATAATCAGCAAAATAATTCATCTCTGAAGTATTTTGTAGATTATCTCCTATACAGAGCCGGCCCTACCATAGGGCGAAAGGAGCAGCCGCTCCAGGCGCTAAGTCCTAGGGGGCGCCTCAGTGGTAAAGAAAATTAAAGGGTATAAATTTGGGGCAACCAAGGGCAGTGGCGTAGCGAGGGGGTGCAAGGGGGTGTATCAAGCACCGGGCGCCACTCGCAGAGGGGCGCCCAAATGGTCTTCAAGACAAACTACATGTGTTTCTGGAGGGGGCGCCAATAAAGTGTCGTGCCCCGAGCGCCAGTTATGTTCGCTACGCTACTGACCAAGGGGGCGCCATAATAGGATCTCGCTCCATCCTAAAACTTGCCTCGGGCCGGCACTGCTCCTATACAACAGATGGTATTGAAATTTTAGATTGTATAAAGTTTTTATACAAGACTTTGAATACAAAACTGTTATAATTTCTTTCTATCATTTAAAAATACACTAGAGCATCGATTATCCGACCCCCGATTAACCGTCACATCGGTTAACCGAACGTGTTCTACTCGGCAAATTCAAATGTCCGCTAGTGATGTGGCACTACAATATTTGGCTATGTCTTGGCTTCTTTAATATTATTTTTGTTAAATTTTGTTTGTTTTAGCTGGCAACACTCATTCGACCATGAAAGGGAGCCAGTATTTAAACGAGGCTTAATTTTCTAATTTTTAACGATACAATAGCGACGATTATTATTAAAAAAATTTTTTTGTTAGGCTTAAAATCGATGAAAATTCAACGCGAAGTAGGTTAATAGCGATATAGTTATGTACTAATTACATGGGATATACTAATATACTATGCTAATAATGTATTTTTTCATAGTTTTCGGTTATCCGTTTTTTCAGTTATCCGACCAACCCGTCCCCAATTGAGTCGGATAATCGATGCTCTACTGTACTTATTTTCTTAACAAAAATATTTTGAAGATTTTTTTTCATTTTCAATTGCTGCTATTTCATTGTTTGTCTCGAATATATTTTTGTTAAGAAAAAGAAATGATATAAAGCATAATTTGTAAATTTCATATATCTTTGTCCTAATAAAGTTTATTTGGGATTTAAAAATATTATATTGAATTATTTATGATATTGTTAATACAAAAAGTTGCAAATTAAAATAAAATTAGCTCCTGATTTATTAAAATCCTATATCAAAGTAATACTATTTAAACTATATTTCAAAATAATGTTGACAAAATGTAAACTTTTATTCTCTAAATAGCGATTTTTAAACAGAATAGTTATTTACAACATGCCCTCCTCCTTTGACATCACAATATGTCAGGTTCAGGCTTGATAGGTATCTAAGTGGCCAAGGTTAAAACCCTTGCCAAATTAAAAGCCAGTCCATTAAAGCCGAAAGCCCATTATATAGTAAAGTAGGTTTTCCAAAAGCATGTGTTAAAAAAATTGACAAATTACTTTATCTGTTTATACTTACGTAGATATATTTGTGAACTTAAAATTAGATATGCATGAGAAGTTTAATTTCACAGGAACTTTTCTACATGTATTATTGCTTACGTACTCACTGTAGTTCTGAGACTGTAATAAACAAGTATACAATCTAAATCAAAATAAAACAAACATGTTTTGGAAAATACAATTTAATTGTATTTAACTAAATAAATAAACAATGGTCTTAAAAAGAAAAAAAATTGAAATTTGACAAACAAAAAAAATTTCCTATTCATTCATCTTTCAATGTTGATATATTGACACACTCCCATTGTGGCATGAAGTTAAGAACAGTGACTCTTGGATTTGAAAATAATAATAATCTGTTAATTTAATTACATATAAAGAAGCATTATAAAATTAACAGAATGTTAATTTTCACATATGACATATGGACCAGAATTTTGTAAGTTAAATTGAAGTTTTACTATATTATATAAATGATTAAATTAATACTAAATATCTTATGAATAATTAATTTAAATATCATTAACTGCACAGTTTAGTTTTACATAAAAGTAGACTTTTACTATTATAAATTGATAAATTTCTTTCAATAAAATATTCTTCAAATTCTTTAAAAGTTTGATTTTTATACAATTGGAATTAGAAAATATAATTCAGCAACAGCAACTAACATTGCCAAGGAAAATCCAACACAAAATTTCTGGAAAAAAAAATTGAAAAATATTAATTAATCAATTTTCAATACATTTTAAAAACAGATTAAAATTAATAGAAAATACCAGTATACTAATGCTGTAATTATAGAATTAGAACAGTTTAGTTTTTCCAGAAATCATTTGCTTTGGAAATGCAGAGATTACACAACCTTTTCTATGCTGTAGACAAAATGGCAAATTCTGTACAGTTATGCAAGTGTGTATGCATTCTGTGGTTTTAAAAATAAAGAGCTCAAGGGAAATCATTCTTAATTTGTTTCTTTTTTAGGGCTATATGAATTAATTGAAGATTATTTCATCAGAACTAAAACTTAGATCCAGTTCCAAAGACAAACATATTTTGATCATTTTCAACAAAAATATGCAACTTATATAGTGACAGCCATGTTGCAATAAAATTTGCTCAATCAGTATTTTCAAAAAATTCCTCTATAGTTCAAGTTGCTTGGATAAAAACAGTTCAGTCAAGAAAAAGTTATCAGTGAGAATTTTTAGATAGATCTATAGATTCAGTGCCATAACAAGGATGGGAGCAAATAAGGCATTTTTTGCCTAGCTATTATAAGTGTCAAGAAAGCATCAAACAAAATTTATAAAGAATAAATGAACTTTATATTCTGTATAAATTTCAATAATGATATCAATAATCTAATACACATAAAATAATTCTGTAAATTCTGTTAATAAAATATTTTCAATAAATATAAAATAAAATAAATAAATATTATTTTGGAAGTATAAATTAATAGTTTTCTAACAAAACCTTAATAATTATCTTACAACATGAATTATTATTTACTTTAAAAACAGTTTATTTTTTGAAATTATAATCAAAATAGAAAAACATTAAATTTAGAAAAATATAGTTTCACTGGAAAAGATTTAACAACACTGTAGGAAAACATGAATTACAGTAATTATGCACATAAAGAATTAAGGAAAATTAAATCAGTAAGTATTCTATAGAATACTTTTATGTAAATATTTTAGACAAAGCTTACAAATGTTCATAATAAATCTAAATTTTTGAAATAGGAACGAAAGAAAATGAAATGAAATAAAATAGCAAAAAAAAAAAACATACAAATATAAGGACAAACTTTTACTGAGATTTGAGTAACTAAAAATTTGTGTTAATACTTTTGAGTAAGAACATACCTTTATACATTCAATAAAACATTGAAAATATGGTAAACATGACAATTTGAAAGAGGAAAAGATGCTCTGCATGAATTATTATTCTTGCTTAAGTTTTGTTAAAAATATTAATTTGCAAAGTTATGTAATTAATACTTTTAATAAAATTTACATAATTTTTATTGAATACCTTCTCTACTTTTTTTCCTTTGAATTCATAACATGTCTGAAGTGGGTTCTCACTCAAAAGTTCTAATATGTAAAATTTAATTATTTAAATGCCAGTAAAGCAGCATTTTGTCTTATTAGACTTTAATCTTCATATTACTCAATTACATATATTTCATATTTCTAAATATTTAAGGTAAATTATCTGCAAAACTTACTGTAATTAAGTCTGATACTGAAAAGAGATATTCTGCTGCCTTAAATCCAAAAATAAAAGTTCCTGCAACAGTTAATACACCATTTAAAACTGCAGTAATTTGTGACCTGACACTACGAACTGTAAAAAGAAAATAAGTTGAACTGTTTTAATTTTAAAATCATAAATTCATAATATTTAATGTTTTTAGAAATAAATGATGGAAATTATTTAATAATTACAATAAAATTACAAAATTTATTTAAAAATATACATTTAGTTAGGAACTGTCTATTAATTACATCTGCATATTTCTTGAAATTTTTACCCCCCCTCTCCCATTATCCCAGTTTGTCTAAGTTTCTGTAACACCTCCCCTCTTCAGACATCCAACAAAACTCAATCCCCTCAAAACCTGGTTAAAACCTCAATATGGTTTATGCACTTTATTATTAATAAAGTGATAAACTTTATTAATAATAAAGTGCATAAACCATATAAAATTTTATGAAATAAAATAGACATCCATTGAAATTCAACCCCTTCCCTCCCAACTTGTCATATTTCCCTCCCTCCCAGTGTGGACATTTGTGGACAGCCCCTTATAATTTCAATCTAGGTATTAATATAATTTACTTTTTATCTTTACAATATATTCAATTTACAATTATTTCAATATTCTATTTACACAATAAATTTGTTTTAAAATAGGCTTTGTTCAAATAGTTAAAATTACAGCAATTTATAAAATTCTTCAAATCAGAAAATACAAAAATGCTTGAAATAGTTTATACAGGGTGTTTATAAATGAATGGTGCAGTTTTAAAAATTAATAATAAATCTATTTATTACCTTACATGGGCAAACCTTACAGCATAAGCAGCTGCAACTGTCCAAGTTCATAGGAATGTATGCGAGCTTCTTAATCATGTTCTTCATCAATGCTGGATTGGACATGGTGCAACAGCAGACAAGTGCTCCCCTGGCCACTCCATTCACCAGATTTAACACCCTGCAATCTCTTTTTGTGGGGGTTTGTTAAAGACTGAGTTTATGTACCATTGATGCCTGTGTCCCTTGAGGAACTGTGTGATTGAATAAACACTGCACTGCAGACCATCACGGAGGACATGGGAAGAATTTGATTACCGTGTAGATGTGTGTCGTGTGACCATGGGTGCAGATATTGAAGGATTGTGATTAATGCATAAAAAACTTGGACAGTTGCTGCTGCTTATGCTTTAATGTTTGCCCATATAAGGTAATAAATAGATTTATTATTAATTATTAATATTCAGAAATTTGTATATTTTAAATTCAATCTTAATAAATTAAAAAATGTATATACAGAAACCTTATTTTCAAATGTTAATATAAACAATTAATTTTACATAAATGTGCACTGCTAATAACCCAATCTTACAATTATCAACAGTGTCATTTTAACCTGAAGACTACAGATTTAGTGATTTTTTCCCATACAATAAGTTTTCAACAAATTTATTTGAGTCAATAAAATTTTGTATCATATTTTTGATATTTTTGATCAAATTTATTTGGATTTAATAAAAGCAATGAAAATTTTTATCTTTATTACAATTCTATGAAGTAAATAAGTTTTTCCCCCACTGTTAGTTGTAATTTCATTTTTCTACAATTATCTATATATATATATATATATATATAAATGGACGTGTGTGTCCCTATATTTCACTTTTCTGCAAAAACTACACTACACATCGCACATGAATGCTGTTTGTATGTGGTGGTAGCCCCAAGTGCATGTCTCCATTCGTGCACTATGGGGGGTTGCATCTCGATAGCTGTAAGGGTGTGGGAGATATGGGGCTGAAAGTGGTTTTCTATTTTGAATGTTATGTTCGAATTTGTTTGAATTAAATTTGAACAATATTCGAATTCGAATTGGTTCGATTATAGAACAATTGTAAACGTTCCAGAAAATTGATCAAATTGAAAATAGTTCGTTTGACTGGACGTAAAAATTCTCTAATTAGTCTGGAAACGGGGGACCTAATTCTTGCATTCTGTGAAAACGGGTAAGATTGGCTATAATGTAATTATCTTAATCTTCACTATCGTTACTTTTTGCCCAGCGAAGCGGGTCCTTGCAGCT